TTCTTCTCTACTCTATTTAATTTTGGTTTTGTGGTTGCAAAAAGGGGAGAATTTTTGGAACTCCAATTCACCCCCCCTCTTGGAGTGCATTGAGTGAACAATTAAATGCCCTGCAGGACGCAAGGCTTGAGTTGCAGGATTGTCAGGAGAGCCGGCTTAGCTTTCTAGAGCTAGCTCTGTAGAGCTGGCTCTGTAGAGCTGGCTCTGTAGAGCCGGCTTACACTTCCAGAGCCGGCTATCCGGGTTTGCAGGCCATTTTGTTTTCCTCGAGAGCCGGCTGCAAGACTTTGAGCTGGCTTTGGAACTTCGACTTTAAATTCATTAAAAAATCTTCAAATGAGTCAACCGTTGTGCATTAAATGCACCCTCACAGCCGGCTATAAAGTTGGAGCCGGCTTTGCGTCTTTTCTCCGCGCGTACCAAACAACGTTCTTCAAATTTTTGCCTGTAGAGCCGGCTCTCTACACTTCCATTTCACCAGAGCCGGCTGCAGCTTTCAAGAGCCGGCTCTCTACACACTTTGAATCCGTTTGGTCTATTTTTAGTGCAATCCAAGTTTACTTGCAATCTTTTAGCAACTTAACTACACACTTAAATAAACCAATTAGTCACTCAAATGTGTTTTGTAATCATCAAAATCATAGGTACAACGGCAAGCTGCAAGGGACTCACGGGAACCACCCAAAATTGAAGGAACAAGAGGAACTTAGAGTAATCCAACTTAAATCAAAGCTAAAAGGATGAAATCATGGCTGTTCTTACCGAAAAAAGCCCAAAATTTGGCATCACCAACTGCAACTCACAGACAAGGGAGGGGGAGAAACCAAGTAGATCTGGAATTCCTTGCTTTGGGAGGGTTTCTAAGCTCCTAAATCTTTTTCTTGGACAAGAAAAGAAGGGAAAAACCAAGCTTTCTCACTGGTTTTTCAAGAGGAGGCTGTCGGGCTTGGGGGCTTTCGGCTGTAGGGCAGAAGAAAAGAAGAGCAAATGCGTGGGTTGAAGAAGAAGAAAGAAGAAAAAATACCTGGTCCTTATCCAAATTCTTTCCTCTTTTGAGTCCCTCAACTTTCAAAATGTTGGCCATCAAGCCCCAAATAATATTTTCTCACAAGTTAGTCCCTAACTCACTTATTTATTCTAGAAATTTTTGGGGTATTACAATATTATAACTGAATCAATCTAATTTAAATCGAATTGGTATGGTTTAGTCAAATTGATTGGTTTTTAACATTATTTTAAATATATTTAGTTAAGTAAAAAATCATACCATTAGAGTATCATAGACAACAAAATAATAGCATCAATTATCAAATTGAAGTAAGAATTAAGAAGGTGACAAAATTTAAAAGTAAATACCAATAAATTAATCTGAGACATGTAAACTCATATTGTTACTATTCAAGAAAGTAGAGAGTTTTAATAGTAGAGTTTTTTTTTTTTTTTTTATGTAAGAGACAATTTAAGACTACACTATTTTGTAATTAAATTATGTTGTACAATTATAATATAAAAATAAAATAAAATAATAATAGTCTATACAATTAATATTATATTACAACTAAAAAAAAGTATACTAAAGAAATGAGAAAAGTAAAATAAGAAATGAAAATTTAAAATACAATTTGTATATAAAAAAAATTCTAAAAAATTATTATATTTTTATCTTACCAAAAAAATACAAAAGTAAAAATGTTACATTCTTTAATTAAGTTATTTTGTAATCTAGCGGTTCGATTGGTTTAAAAATAAAATCACAAACCAAACCATTTATATCGGTTTTTAAAGTTTATGACCCAATCCAATCCAATCCAAATTGATGCTAATTTAGATTGGATTTTAGTTGGATTGGATTAGTTTGGTTAAATCAATCAATCTACATTAAATATGACGACCCTAGTTTGGAGGAATATCCTTGTTAGATCTAAAAAAAACCTTCCTACTGGAAAAGATTGAGTTTTAAGAGACATTGGAATAAGGGGACAAGTTGTTGAAGGTAAATAGTGCCAATAAAGTTATTGTACATGGTATTCTCTACACCTGCAAGTTGGAAAAGTATGTTGGAATTCAAACCTAATTTTCAAGCATAAGACATGAGAAGTGTGGCCTAAGCATTGTGACTAAATCACCATAAATCATTGTGTTTGATTTTTCTCTTCCTTACTCTTTTAATTTTTGCAATTTAGTTTAGTTGCACATGCTTGCATTTGTTTGTTCATCGATTTAAACACAAAAGTTGCATAAGTTTTCAAGAGCCTAATTCACCCCTATTGGGTTGCCATCTTATAGGCCAACAGAAGATTTGTGATTTAGGGAAGGAGCCTTTTTGTTTTAACCTGATAACCCATATGCGTTATGAGTCCAATCTTGAAAGCACTCATGTTTCTTTGAAAAACTATTTTTTTAAATTTTATTTATATTGTGAATTTTTCCTATTGGTGGATGCTTCACCTTCACATTCATCTTCTTCAATGTTGTAACTCCTCACAATTAAGGGGTCATTCCTCACAATTAAGGGGTCATTCCTCACCATTAAGGGGTCATTCATGATCCCACTAAAGGCCATTCAAAAGGTCATTAAGGTGTCATTCAAGAGTCCATTATGGTGCCATTCATTCTCTCATTTAGTCCTATTCAATACCTAATGTAGCCCCTACATATCCCTTAGCCTATATATAAGCCTACAAGTTTGCATGATTTGTACATGGAAGAGTACATGGTGATATAAGAAACTCTCTGCTTTGTTTGTTATCTTACTAGTTTTCCTCTTATTTTATAATACATTATCAACATGAATGTCTGCACCATTCAATTTGTGGCAAGATTAAGGTAATCTTTTGTTCTTTAATTTCAATCTGATTTTAATATCTAACAAATTTTTGCAACCACAATGTCAAACTTGTCAAAACTTGAATTTGTCGCCCTTGACATAACAGACTCTCAAATTATTTGCCATGGATACTTGATGCTGAAATCCATTTGGCTGTGAATAATCTTGGCCAAACAATTGTTGAGGGAAATCAAGCATCCTTACAAGATTGCGCTAAAGCATTGATATTCCTTTACCATTATCTCTATGACAAATTGAAGGCTAAATATTTGACACTCAAAAATCCATTTGAATTATGGCATAATTTAAAAGAAATATGTGATCACCAAAAATTGGTGATACTACCCAAAGCTTGTTATGAATGGATGTATCTACGATTGCAAGATTTTAAATTTGTAAGTGATTACAACTCTACAGTATTCCGCATATCATATGAATTAAAATTATGCGAAGAAAAAATTATTGATGAAGATATGTTGGAGAAAACATTCTCCACTTTCATGCATCAAATTTGCTTCTTCAACAACAATATCAAGAACGTGGTTTTAAAAAATATTTAGATTTGATATTATGTCTTCTTGTTGCTGAGCAAAATGAGGAACTTTTGATGAAAACTCATCGGTCATGCCCTACTAGTTTAGCCCCATTACTTGAGACAAATGCAACCTCATATGATAATAATGGGTGTGGTCACAACTGTTGCCGTGATTGTACTTGTGACAATAATCATGGCCGAGGGCATGCCCATGGTCAAAATAATACTTGACATCATAGTGGCTTCAGCCCCAAATATGAATTTGCTGAACATAAGGATTTAAGCGGTAGAAATTTAAAAAAGAACACTACAAAAGTTTTTAAAATTTTGTTATCGATGTGGAGCGAAATGTCACGAGGTGAGACTAGCTCCGATGGCACTTGTCTCGGAGGTGGAATCTAGCTTGACCTCATGTAGCACTTAGCTCAGAATTAACCCCGTAAAGCCGAACCAAGTCAGCCTTCCTCAACACTTGGCGTGGCCCTCTAACTTGGCTCGAGGTTAACAACACGAATATGAAGGTAGGAAGTTGGGAGAAGAAGAGAATTTAGTAAGATCGCAAGGAAGTGTACAAGAGCATGAGTACACAGTCCCTCTATGCACTCACTCACCTAGCAGCTCACTCTCTTTAGCCAACTCTCCATCTTCCTCTTCTACATAGGCCACCCCCTATTTATAGAAGAGATTAGGCCCAAGAGCCCCCTGCTAGTGAGTCTCTAGAACACTCCACACAATTCCCCTCATATGTACAATTCCAGAAGCTTCTCCACTCTCCCTCCTAGCCTAGCCTACAATATTCTAGAACACCCTATTCTAGAATTATGTACAAGGCCCTAGGAAGATCCTAGGTCGGGCTTGGCCCAACAAGCCCATCCAAACCCCTGTCTGGTACTGTTCCCGTGCACCCAGCAGCTTCTGGAACATTATGGGCCGCTCCAGTCTGTCACACCGGTGTCGACACCATAATCCAGTGCATTTTTCGTGTGTCGACACTCTGTCCGCTACTAGCATGGCATGCATTGTGGATGCCCTTGGCCACTCTCGTGCGCGCTTGCGTGTCTCAACCGCGACCCCATGCCATGGCCTTGGCATTGACTCTACCAGGTCATGCAAGACCTGCCTCTTGAGCATTCCATGTCACGCTCGTGCACCCTAGTGCCTCGAGCCATACAACACCCATGCGTGCCAGCGCCTCCACCCAACTTGCCCGTGCGTGCACCTGTGTCACGCACACACACGTCGCCCCCGACTGCTTCCGCACGTTCCCACGCATCCTGTCCGTAACTTCACGCCACGACCCTGGTATCGACGCCTCCACTGGCGAGGCCCGTTGCGTCTCGAGCAATCCACCTTACGCCGGTGCCGTCGAATGCGTATGTGTCGTAATCGCAACCCCGTGTCGCAATACCGACACCCTCGTCCAACATGCCCACGTCCACGCTTCCATTTGCGCTTCCACTTGCGCCCGTGATCTTGCTCGCGCCTGTCCTCGTGTCCGCGCTCGCACTCCGCAACGCCACATGGCATGTCCCCTGGATGTTGCAAACACCCTCTGTGTGCCCGTGGCTACAGCTCCATGCCATGATGCCCTTGACTTCGGCCCCCGAACTCGCGTGCTGTGACAGAAAAGACATTAGAAGCATGCTTGTCGCATTGCTAGGCATTTGATTGATCTTTACCAAGCCTCACTTAATGAAAAGGGAAAAGGGAAAAGGGAAAAGGGAAAGATCCAAAAATGAATTTCATTAAGCATAACAATATGAATCTTCATACACACCTTGATGTTGCTAATCTTTTCAGGGGTGTTGCAAAGTTTAATGGTGTTCATAGAATTATAAAAAGTTCACCTGAGCACCCATTAAGGAACTTGAAAGCTTTATTATCAAGTGATTTTTCATGTGTTACTTGCTCCCTTGGTAAATTAATTGCCAGGTCATTTGTAACTAAACTAAAAAATGAATCTCCTCCATTTTTAGAACGGATTCAAAGAGATATTTGTGGGCCTATAAATCCATCATCTAGACCATTGCAATATTATATGGTGTTGATAGATGCTTCAACAAGATGGTTACATGTTTGCCTATTATCTACATGTAATGTTGTATTTGCAAGGCAAGGCAACTTACATAAATAATAAATTAAGGGCACAATTTCCTAATTCTACAATAAAAAGGGTCCAACTTGATAATGCAGGAGAATTTACATTCCAATCATTTAATAATTATTGTATGTCAATTAGGATTACTGTTAAGCATCTAGTTCCTCATATGCATACACAAAATGGTCTAGCTGAATCTTTTATTAAGTGTCTACAATTAATTGCAAAACCACTTGATGAGAACCCCAAAGAGAACAATGAGACCCACAACATGACAAGGGATTTCTAAACTGTAGGAAAGCCAAATCAGGTTTATAATAGAACCGTGACCCATTGTTTATGTCGCAACAAGAACCAAAGGTAATAACCTTGACCCGTTGTCTATGACGCAATAAGAATTAGAGGTATAAAGTTGGTTGACGCCATACCCTCGAACGATTAAGAACGAGAATAATAAGTCAGGTTAGATAGCCACAAGAATAATCTTGATAAGTTCTATAAAGTTCTGAAACAAACCAAAGAGAAAAGTCTCTCAAAACTCAGATTCAATAGCCTCCTCCCCATTAGGTTTACAAACCTTTTAAATAAAGAAAACAAATTCTAATCAAAATAGGAAACTAACATCCTAAGAGGTAAACCTAATAACCACGAATTGGGCTTCAAATAAGCAAATCTTCAACCCAAAAATAACACAAAAAATGTGAAAATCACTAAAAATAATCTAAAATAACACGAAATATCAGTTTGCTACAAATTACGGTAGAATTGTGCGATTTTGACGCAAACTGTGTAATTCCGTGCAAATGACCTCAACTAAGCTTCTCTCGAACCTGAATGATGTTTACCATGCCTTAATAATCATCCAAGGTTTGATTTGCTTGTTGTATGCTGTTTTCAACCCAGATCTGCTCAATAAGGTCATTTAAGGCTTCACGCATCTTCTTAGCTCTAGCTCACGTGACTGGACCTCCTTGGGTGTGTAATGGATCACATGACATAGTAGATATGCTGTCGCTTTGATTCCCATCACCACTACTTATTAGATTAAAGTTACCCTCTTCTGCTTAGCGTCATGCTATATCCCATTTAAAGATTTTTGGGTGTGTTGTATATGTTCCTATAACTCTTACACAACGCACTAAAATGGGTCCCCAAAGAAGATTGGGAATTTCTATTGGTTTTAAATCACTATCTATAATTAAATATCTTGAACCAATGATTGGTAATTTTTCACAACAAGATTTGTTGATTGTAATTTTGATGAAAACTTGTTCCTAGTTTTAGAGGGAGAGGAACAAAAGTTGAAAAAATAGGAATTAACTTGGGATGCATTATCTATATCTCATTTAGACCCTCGAATAGGTCAAAGTGAACTAGAAGTTCACAAAATTATTCATTTGCAAAAGATTGCAAATCAATTGCCTGATACATTCACTAATGCAAAGAAAGTAACTAGTTCACACATCCTAGTTTTGAATGCTTCTGCTTGAATTGATATTCCTATTGAAAAAGGTGCTAAGAAAATAACAAATGAATCTACTATACGCCAAAAGCGTGGTACACCTGTCAGTTCCAAAGATAAAAATCCAAGAATGAAGAGAAAGCAAAATGCTAGCTCCATTAAAATTGTAGAGACTCAAGAGTTCTCTAAATAAGAGCCAAAAAATCCATCTAAAGAAATAATACCAAAAAAGGTTCAAGTTCTTGAAAACAATGAAGATGCAAAAATTGTAGATTATGATGAGATCTGAATGAATTATATTTCTAGTGAGATAAAGTGGAATCGAAATGATGTTGTCATTGATGATGTTTTTGCATTGGCAATAGCAAATGATATAGTTAATTAAAATGGGGATCTTGAATAGAAATCCATTAAAGAATGCCGAAAAAGAAGTGATTGGCCAAAATGGAAAGATACAATTTAGGTAGAATTGAAATAATTAGAAAAACACTAAGTTTTTGGACCAATTGTCCAAACACCCAATAATGTAAAGCCTGTCAGTTGTAAATGGGTGTTTGTGAGAAAACAAAATGAGAAAAATAAGGTTGTGAGATATAAAGCCAGACTTGTAGCTCAAGGCTTTACATAAATGCATGACATTGATTGTGATAAAACATATTCTCCTATGATGGATGCAATTACATTTAGGTTTCTAATAAGTTTAACAATTTTTAAAAGCCTTCAAATGCGCCTCAAAGATATTTTAACTGCTTACTTATATGGATCACTTGATAGTGACATTTATATGAAAGTCTCTGTTGGACTTAAAATGCTTGAAGCATACAACTCAATGTCAAGAGAGATATTTTCACTAAAATTAAAACGGTCTTTGTATGGGTTGAAATAATCAAGGTGAATGTGGTTCAATCACCTAAGTGAATATCTTCTAAAAGAAGGATATAAAAATAATCTTATTAGCCTGTGTGTCTTTACCAAGAGGTCAAAATTATTGCTGTATATGTTGATAACATAAATATCATTGGAACACCTAGAGAGCTTGAAAAGGTAATTCAATTTTTAAAGAAAGAATTCAAGATGAAAGATGTAATACCCCAAATTTTGAGCACTTATGTTGAATAATTAATTACATTAATTTAGGTACGAGATGCCTAATATAAAAGGGGATTTTAATAGGGGACCAAATTATCTAACCCTTCAATCTCAGGGATGTTAGCAATAAAAGAGAGAGAGAGAGAGAGAGAGAGAGTGTGTGTGTGTGTGTGTGTGTGAGTGAGTGAGTGAGTGAGTGAGTGAGTGAGGGGCGGAGGTATGAACAAAAGGAAAACCTATTTCCCTTTTCAAGTTTTCTCTTCACTTTTGGGGTTTTCCTTTTCTCTTCTATTCCAATTCCAAATCAAGAAGTCGTCAACCTTTTAGCCTTTCTCTGATGCTGCTTCTTCTCATCAAGATCACAGCTTTTTGTTCTTCTTTCCTTGTTTGTGATTTGAATGCTCAGTGGGTGCTCCTTCTACAACTTTTTGATAAGAAATCAACCACATGCTCATCTTTTTATCTTTGATTTAAATTGGGTTAACTCTAATCCTTTAGGGTTTTTCAATTTGGGATTTGTTTCAATAGTTTTTCTCCTTGATTTTGCCCATAATCTAGCACCACTAGAATTTGATCCATTTTGCTGGAAATTCTTACAACATGACCTTGAAATAGTGTTTTGCCCATAACTTTTTCTATAGATATCAAATTGAGTCCATTCTTAATTTCATGGAAAGTTAAGAGATAGCCCTACTATTTTTTGGTTGGATGTTTAACCTAGTTAAGTCGTTGTCAAGGTGAAAACTATGCTACAAGTTTCAGTCCCTAAAGGTAGACAAAACTGGCAGCCTGACCTTATGTTAGTATTGTGACCATAACTTTCTTTGTAAATGCTGGATTCAGGTGATTCTTGACCCTATAGAATGCTAAGACATAAGGCTACAATCAATCCATTAACCATTCAGCCCAAATTGGTTAATTTATGGGTGCAAATTCTATTGGAAATTTTGGTTTAGAATCTTACCAGAACTTGCCCTCAAAAGTGCCTAGAAATTTGCTCTATTTTCTACTTTATTCCCACCTTATCCACTGTCACATCACATTGTGGTTTGACTAGATTTTAGCTATTGTTTTCCTACTTTAAAACCCCTTGTTATTGCTTTATTTTTCTATTGAAATCTTGCTCTGTTACTTAGCTTTTTCCACTAAAACCTTTCTTGAATCACATGTTTTTCTTGCTTAAATTTTGTATGAAACAGTTCCAAACAACCCAGAAATTTTAGCTATGGTTAATTGTTGTTGTAACTTGATATTTTTCTTATTTCATGCTAGAAAGTATATAATTATGTTAGTTAAATTCTACCTTTTTGCTTATGGTTTTGAATGTAGTTTTTGCACTTAAATTGTGTTGTTTTGTCTTGAAATTTTCTATTATTTTGGCTACCTTTTTGCTACTACATTTTTGCTTAAATGCTGTCCATTTTTGCCTAGTTTTAACTTGTATTATGCTCTGTTTTGTTGTTGTTTTTGCCCAAAAATCCTTGTTGTTTTTGCCCAAAAAATCCTTGTTGTTCAAGGGTTTTTCCAAGTATTTTGGGACTATTTTAACTGGCAGAAACCCCCATCTTGTTGCCCAAAATTTCTAGTGGCATTTGGGATAGTTTTGAGCTCGGTTTCTTACCATTTCTACACTTTATCCAGCCTAGAAAATTTATTTGAAATACTAGTTGTTTTAAGTGACATGTGGAGCTATTTTAAGCATATTCTAAGTATGATTAAACATATTAATATATTAGTAAGGTTTCAAAGGGTAGAGGTGATTGGGAGGTGTAGAAAGAAGTTGTTTATTCGGTTAAGAACTTGATTCTGGAATTATGAAACAAATTAGTTAAATGGAGTATCTTGTAGTCTTGTTTATTCATTTGATGTGGTATAAGTTCTACATCACCTTCACTGCCTTGAGATCTTGAATAGTTGCTTATTGTATACCTATAAGGTGAAGCAAGTAAAACTGTGGTAAATGCCCTTGGATTTTAAGGTAAGGGCTTTTAAAAGCATATTTTGAACTATTTTTGAGATGGTGGTGAGACCTAAACTAATATTTTTTATTAGCACATGAGCATAGTTGGTTTGAAATGAAGTTGTTATTATTTTTATTAAATTGAGTATGCCTACATGGAGTTTACTTGTTTGTTCTGGAAATTTGAAATTGGTTTGTAAATTTTGAATTTTTCTATTAACTCCTGCATGGTTTTGTCTCCAATATGGTCTTGATTCCTAAAGCCCACCAGTGGAAGTTGTAAACGCTGGCACATGTCGACATATATTTCTAGAAATTGGTTTGTCTTGATTTATTCCTATTATTCCTGCCAATGGGATAGTACACTAGTTATTCTTGCCAGTGGAATAGTACACTGGTTATTCTTGACGCTTTCCAATGGGAGTTTGTTAAACACTGGTCATAATTAATTAAGGAGACCACTAATGAGTTTTACTATGTATTAAATGCTTATAACTGAGATTTTCTTGTGGTTTATGTTTTAATTGTTATTTGACATGCTTTAACTTTAACTAAGGACTATCCATATTTTACTTACTATCTCATATAGTTTTTCCTCGTCCACCATTTCAGGTAGCGCAACCAAAGACATGGGAAACCAAAGGGAGTGACAAGCTAGAAGGCTACCTACTTATATTTTGGACTTGGTTCATTTTTGGAGATAGGCCCTCTAGACTAATTATTTTTTGGCATAGATTTTGGGATATAGATCATTTTTTTATAGACTAGATTTCCCTCGAAAATAGTCACGACTCTATTGATGGAGTTGTAAACTTTTTGGAGCACTCTTGACTTGGCTGTAACCTTGGTTATTAAAGTTAGATTTTATTTTGAGATATTGATCTTAGTTTAGTGGATTGCCAAATATGAATTAAGCAAGTTCTGGGCCTTGTGCATTTGTGGGATTCTCTCACAAGCGCACAGCATCTATTTTGCTCCTGGTTTTGGGGTGTGACAAAAGATCTCGAAGTAACAAATTCTTTCTTGGTCTACAAATCGAGCACTTATCAAATGGAATTTGTGTTCATCAACTAAATTACGTTGAAAATATATTGAAGAGATTTAACATGGACAAATCTCATCCTTTAAGCTCCCCAATGGTTGTTCAATCCCTTGATGTAAAGAAAGATCTTTTTTGACCTCATGAAGATAATAAAGAAATCCTTAGTCCAGAAGTACCATATTTAAGTGCCAGAGGTGCATTAATGTATTTAGTTAATAATACGCAACCTAATCTCACGTTTTCTATGAATTTGTTAGCAATATATAGTTCATCACCAACACGAAGACATTGGAAAGGCATTAATCATTTATTTCATTATCTTCAAGGAACAAAAAAGGAATAAAAGACATTGGATTTTTTTACTCAAAATACTCAAAATCAAAGTTAATTGGATATGTATACACTGGATATTTGTCTTATCCACATAAAGGGAGATCACAAACTGAATATTTGTTCACATATGGTGGTACCGTAATTTCTTGGTGTTCAACCAAATAGATCATTGTTGCCACATCCTTAAACCACTCAAAATTGATTGCCTTATATAAGGCAAGCTGGGAATGTGTATAGTTAAGATCTTTGATCCAGCATATTCAAGAAATATGTGGTCTTAAAGCAATTATAGGAAATCCAACCTTATTATATAAGGACAATACTACATGCATTGCGCAAATAAAGGAAGGATTCATCAAAAAAGATAGAACCAACCATTTCTCTAAAGTTTTTCTTTACACATAAACTTGAAAATGCTGGTGAAATAGAAGTTCAGCAAATCAGTTCAAATAAGAATCTTGCAAATCTTTTCACGAAGTCGCTGCCTATCAAAGTTTTTGAACAACTTGTACACAAGATAGGCATGCAACGTCTTAAGGAGCTTCATTGAAGTGAGGGGAAGTATTATACGTACTGCACTCTTTTTCCCATCACTATGGTTTTTATCCCTCTAGGTTTTCCTAAAAAGGTTTTTAATGAGGCAGTTTAAAAGCATATACCACAAAAAAGGTGAGCATCCAAAGGGGAGTATTATGAATTTTTCCTATTGGTGGATATTTCACCTTCACATTCATCTTCTTCCATGTTGTAACTCCTCACAATTAAAGGGTCATTCCTCACCATTAAGGGTCATTGATGATCCCACTAAAGGCCATTCAAAGGGTCATTAAGGTGTCATTCAAGAGTCCATTAAGGTGTCATTCATTCTCTCATTTAATCCTATTCAATTGCTAATATAACCCTTACATATCCCTTAACCTATATATTGGCCTACAAATTTGTGTGATTTGTACATGAAAGAGTACATAGTGAAATAAGAAACTCTTTATTTTGTTTGTTATCTTATTAATTTTCCTCTATTTTATAATAATTTGGAAGTAAATTTCTAAAAATGATTAATTGTTATTTTCATTAATTGAAATCATTTTTCATTGATTTTTTTTTAAAAAGGCTTTCGAAAATTGAATAATATACGAAAAATTATTTTTAAAAGTAACTTTTTGAGAACAAATGCCAAAAAAAAAAAACCCAAATCCAATCATAATATAAGAAAGCAGTGAACAAATTAATTTGTGTTTAATTAATGTGCCCTGTTCATAGAAAGTGATGATAAATCTAATCCATATAATTACATAATGTTTATATATATATATATATATATCAACTTTTCTATATGAGTAAAGTTACAAACTGTAGAACTTCGAATAAAGAGAGAAGACAAGATTGGGTAAGGAAACAAAGAATATATCAGAATAATCTTTATAATTTCTTGAGGGTATGGGACATTTTCCAACGATTAACTTTCAAGAAAAATAAGTGGATTTTAATACAAATTTGATAATCAGATTTCAAGAAAAGTGAGTGAATTTTAACACAAATTTGATAATCGGATTGAGACAGGAGATAATGAAGTTGAATGCATAATTAGAGAAAAGGCAACGAAATAGCTTCTTTGATCAAAAACTTATTCTCAAGGCTTATGGCCATGAAATAAAATTGTCAACTTCGATCAAATCTCAATCTAAAGGCAAGTGTGTATATATGTACAAGGAGAAATCTCTTTGCCAATGCTTAAACCAAACTAATTAATATATATTCAAGAAGAAACTGAAAATGCCAACGGAATTTCACTCTCATGCGAACCAACAGAACTATTTGAGGACAAACTACTCTGTTTCTTAACCATCCTTTCGTCTTGGTCATAATTTTCTCCGACCACCACCGTCGCACCAAACTGAACGCGTTTTCCATCTGTGCTTGGGGCTGGGGAACACATAGGCAACTGTAGGGAAGAGTCATGAGCAACATCAACAACTTTTGCATGATCAATAGTAGAGGCTTCGGCACCATCACCACTAACGCTAACGTTGCCATCCTCTCCACCACCACTGTTGCCACCAATTACCATTCTAAATCCAAATTTTCGTGAAATTACCCTATAGACGAACGTGAGGAACCAAAATAACCAAGGCAGGCAAACCAGGGAAAGACCTATAATAGGCAACCAATGTGTAATTTCAGATTCAGGGAGGTTCATGTAAGCCAGAAGGCAAATCCCTCCAGCAGCTATAAACAAAAATAAGATGCAAGTGACGATCCATATAAACAAACCGCTACTGCTAGGACCTGATACAGCCATCTGGGACTAATTCTACAAAATAATATCAAATAATGTAAGAACAAGTAATTAAGATTTCATCCTTGACATTCATTATCCATGTTGTTCATTGAGAATGTTTGATGTTGAAGAAAGATTTTCCTGGAAAAATTAGGAAAAGATCGATGAAAAAGATGGTGGTGGGCTGATTTTCTGTTGTTATTGTTGTTGTTGCTACAGGGGGGATTGAGAGAAGGCTATGATGGGATTTGTTTCACCATGAAGACAGATTCAAAAGTTGGTTTACGTAAAACATGGTTTGTGTCAAACAATATGGAACATATCCAAGGAAGGAGCCGATGGTACGTGTCTGGTTTATATTCAACAAAAAACTTAACTAACGCAAAACATGTTTCTTACTTTCAAACATACCATCCATCCTTTACATTGGGAAAGTAAAAGAAAACTTTAATCAAATATACACAGGGAAATCTTCTCCAACTTAGACTATATTGACTAGTAGATTATATTGGTTTCAAACTCTGCTTCATGACCTTGGCATATACCTTCTTCTTATGAGCTTATTTTATCTTATGGAAATATGAGTTCTAGCTCCCCCAACATACCATAAATCACCTTATTATACTATAAAAATTGTTAAAATTTTTAATAAATATCAAATAAATATCCAATAGGCTTTGAGCTCATTTTATCTTAGGGAAATTTGAATTCTAGCTCAACATGCTCCAAATAATCTTATTATATTATAAAAATTCTTAAAATATTCAGTAAATTTTGAACAAAAACCAAATAAACTTTTTAAAATCTTCAATAAAAATTATTAAAACTTTCAATAAATCTCAAATAAGTACTCAATGGACCTTTTAAATATTCAATAAAACTAAATAAATACCCAATAAGTCTTTTAAAGTTTTGAATAAATATCAAATAAACATTCAATAGACTTTTTAAAATCTAAATTCAATTATTTTTTCAATAATAATTTATTTATCTTCATTATTACATTTTCAATAATAATTTTTCCTTTTAATGCAGAGCAGCTTTATGTGTCATCTTGAATGATGGAGGACAAACCTTGACCTAGAGACTCACAGCCCTAATCAATGTGGACGTGTTTTGAAAATTATGAGATCTAATTAGTTAAAGTAGACAATATCTATAATGGTTTGTGAGTTGTTATATTCAATAAATTCTAAATAGATACCGAGTCTTTTAAAATTTCCCATAAAATTCCTTCAATGGATCTTTTAAATAAAGTTAATTAACTGGGGCAAGTACCAGTCGAAAATCAAATCTTATTTTACCATATTAAAAAAATTGTTAAAATCTTCAATAAAAGTTAAATATCAAATTTAGTCCTTTAACTTTCAATTTTAACAAATTTCATCCTTCAACTTTATTTTGCACTTTTCATCGTCCGTCGTTAGTTATGTTTTCTATTAAATGACTCACATGGCATTTTTATTTTGTATTAATGACATGGCAATTACGTACATGGGAAATGCTATTTGGACAACCATTTTATTCTACTTTTTTGTACAATCTAACATATTATTAAAATAATTGATTTTTTAATTTATATGAAACCGTAATATTGAATACATCCACTCATTTAATGACATGTAAAAATTGTATAAAAAGATGAGATAAAAAAAGTTGTTCCTATAGCACCACCCTTATGTACATGTCATCCAATAAGCTTACATGGACAAAGAAAAAAAGGGCAAGTCATCAATCATCTCATGACACCTAAATAACATATCTAGTTAACCCCTCTTGGTAAGCTTTTCATTAATTAATCAATTAATTTATCAAAAAAATATTTACTTAATTAACTTAGTAATAATTAAGCACATTTAACGTCTTAATTAAACAAAAAAAATCAAAATTTTTAAACGAATCACAATCAACCTTTCGCATGTAGTAAAATTAATAACCCACCCTTCATTTGTTGTTTAGTTTTTAATAATAAAACCTTTTAAGTTGTTTTATTATATAAAATACCAAGTTTGCCCTTAACTTCTTAACCAATTTCCAATAATTAACCTTTACCTAAATTACCAATTTAGCCTTGGTTTTTTATTTAATTTTCAAAACTCTTTCCTAAAATACTCCCCATAGTCTCCTACTCTCCTCCCAGATTCTGAGATAGAGATGCAGATCCTCATTTACAACTCTAAAAGTTCCCAATCCTCAACATCTAGCTCTTATAACACCAAAAATCCAAAAACTAGATTTAACGAAATTTCCCGTTCCTCACTGGTTGCAACTTGCATGCTCAGGCTTCCTAAAATCCATATCTGCACTTCAATTACCCCCTCTTTTCTTGAGCTTTCAACAAGCAAATAAAACCACCATTTCAATAAAAACATCAATGTTACATGAACATGTGCGATTAATGGGCGCATAGAAACAATCTGGGTTTGAAAACCCATTGATATGGGTTCGTTTGAACCCAGAGACTTGGGTTTTGAGACCTAGCAACATGTGAGAGTGATAGACAACTTTTTTTATATTAACCTAGTCTAAACCCAAATGGACCCAAGTCATCAATGGAAGTTTGGTTTTGTTCTAAGTATATATTTATATATATAAGTGATGCATATTAATTTTAATTTTTTAAAAAATTAAAATCTTAATTTATATTTAAAAGTTAAATTTTTAATTTAAAATTTAAAAATTTAATCAGTTTTTTAATTTAAATATTAATATTTAATTAGATAAATTTTTAAATTTTAAATTAAATTTTAACTAAATAAAATAACATAATTTAAGATTAAAATTTTATTTTTTTAAAAGTCAAAATTGATATATATTTTTCCCTATATATATTATTTAATCTAAGTTTAGGCTAAGTTTAGGCTCAAATCTTAATGTTAGCATTTATAAAATTTAATTTTATTAAATGTAAGGAGATGTGCCCTTAGAATTATCTTTAAAAAAATTAGTATTGAGGTGCACAAATATTGACCCAAAAATATCTCTATGCAAATAAATATATATTATTTAATAATTAACTCTTTTAATTTTATTAAAATTTATAATATTATATATATCTATTTACACCATAAATTACAAAAGTTTAAGATTATGCCATGTGTCAACTATTTTTAAATAGATAGAGGTGATTTAGTCATGTCATGTATGCAATTTTAGGTCTCATGACAGATTAGATGCCACATAAGAAAGAAAGAGCTCAAAAGATGAGATTTTATCTTTTGGTTGCCTATTTGAATCAGATTGGGATTGTTTTAACTGGTTTTTAGAAGTTGGATTTAGTTAAAGATGTAAGTGGATAGATGGAATTTTGACTCAATCAATTACTTAGATGTCCAACTTCTTTAGGAAACTGCTCATGTTCAAGTAATTGTATGGAGTGGGGAGTTGTAGGTGGAGAAGAGGAAAATAAAAGAAACTTTTTTTATCATTCAACATATAGATAACCCTACACATAACTTAACAAATTTTCAAACTTCTAGTTTTTCAACAATTGCTCATTTTAGTTTATAGATTTCAGTTTTCAACACAATTCTCAATAGATTTAGGTTCTTTTTCATCATTCTATTATCCAAATTAGTTTGTGTATTCGCTTCAACAATTTTGTTTCATGTAATAAAAATCAAACTTTTGAATTTCTGCAAAGTATTGTTTTTTTTCTTACTGATATTAATTTAATATTTATGATAAGTAATGTTTCATCAAATGATTAATTAAATGGCGTTCACGGTTTCAGGTATGTTTGTTTAGTCCTTATTCATATTTGCTTTAGTGTTGTTTAGGATTAGATCTCCAATTCTACACTAGTTTCCCAAATCTGTCTGTATATAACAATTTAATCTCACAATGAACATATTTAATCTAATTTTGGTACATCTTGTTCTTGTAAGTTTATTTTAGTTTGCATTTTGTATTAGTTCATTTAAGTTCTACTAACTTAAGTCCACAATAATGTTTACGTGGTTGAACTTATTCAAAACAGATTTAGTAACTCATTTTATAAAATAACATTCCTCCCTCTTACAAATCCTCTATAGGCACAAATTTTAATTGAAAACCACCATTATTCTCACCATCCGTAAGAAGATCGATCGTAAGAAAGGAAAGGATCACGAGAAAAATCATGCTTTCTTGCTTTTAGCAAAATCACACGCTTGCATCTAAATTCTGCACGTGCAAAGCCACTTGAAGATTTTTGAAGAAATAATATTTATTTATTTAATAACATATAAAATTATATAAAAAATTATAAAAAAATATTATTCCCGTATCATTACCTGATAAAATATCATTACCCCTAATAAAATAGCCAACTGATCCAAAATGATTATTGGTGGGACAATAGATACATCTATTGAATATTTAAAAGAAAAAAATGGAGAGAGAAGTTGCCACTTCTACGTACTTGAGAAGTGGATACTGGGTTGCATCCAAAACTCGCCATAGCCAAAAGGAACATGACATTATCAGAACCTGCCAAGTAAAGGCAGAAAGGAGCAATGAATTTCCAGACTCCTGCTACCAACCTCCTTTAAAGGATATAATCTTTGCGTTCTTGATTGTTAGAACCCGAATCAGATCTTCATTTAGATGTTCTCAAAAACAGCATATGAAGGAGCCAATAAAGTAAAGCTGCCGCATGCTTCCATTCAACATAATTTCAGATCTGGGATCTGATGAGAGTACATATGAATGTTGCAGTTAGTGATGAGGTATCAAGAATTTATTGTCCCTGTCAAAGGAGCTTTGGACATGCTATCTGTCTCACTGTCAACTGTGAGAGAAGCTAGCATCTGCTGCCTTCTCTGTTCTTGCGCTTTTCTTTGGTTGGATTCAAGGATGATGAGCAAGGCAGTTATATCAGCAGGACTTACTCCACCTACTCTGCTTGCTTGACCAATAGTTTGTGGCCTGACCTGTAAGGATGAAATGCCCATTTTAGTTTATTAGAACCTATCAAAAGAATTCGGCCAGAAAAAGAACCTCCCAAAAGAAAGTGGAGAACCAACAAAACATATTTAGAATCTAAACAAGTTCATGTAGGAGAACTATTTGGACCTTAGAAAGTTTTTCACGTGCTTCGAGAGACAGTGTTGTCATTGAATAATAATCCAAGTCCTTCGGAAGCAGTCTATGTTGTTTATGGACCATCTAAGAGGAAAAAAGCATGAGGGCTCAACATTTGACAAGAAAAATATAAAGATGCATCTCTTGAAATAGATCAATATATAAGACTTGATGAAATTTTGGTGAGCTTTTGTACATGGAATTACTTCAACAACATGAGTCTAAAATCTCACCTGTTGTAATTGGATTTGCTGTCGCAAAATGAAGCCCTCATACTTTATATCAATCTCAACACATTCTTTTTCCTTTCTAGATAGCATGTTGTTTCCAAAACCGTGCTTATCTAGAAGCTTATATTGTATATGTGGTTTCTTAAGAAGAGTCTCTAGTGTTGAAGAATCCTTGACAGGTTGACCAGAGAGCTGTGTAACGTCAGCAGCTAAGTCTCCTCCTGAAAAAAATGAGACAAAATTTCCTTACTTGGAACTCCAATTTATTATTATTTATATATAGAAAAATCAAAAAGATCTAAAAATATGCAAAATAAGAAAAGATATCAAAAAGAAAAGGAGTTGCAGTCAGACTATGAAAATTAATTGTAAATGATGAAATTGATGTGAGAACTAAATAATCTCGCATATTAGAATGTTTGATTCTGCAAAGAGCCAGGGATGTTTGTAACCAAAAGCATCTAAAAATATAATTTTTGACCAAAATCAATAATCTACAATGGAGAGTGTTTTCAAGTTGGCTCTGCTTATGTTGTCTACAAAAATCTGAAACCTTCCATTTACTCTTTTTAGCATTGTATTGGTTCCTAGGTCTCCTGGATTCAGGTTAATGAGCAAAGATTAAAAAAAGAATATAAGCATTTGGTTTCAGATTAAATAAGCATAGGGTTAAAAGGAATAAAAGCGTATGGGCAGGAAAAGAAAGAATGGTTTGCTTGCTTTTTTTCCAAAGATATGAACAATTATACAAACCAGTACTGTCATTTTACAATGAGAGAAATGAATAGCAGAGAAAATCAATTTTCATCTGCACACAAATGAACAAGGTTTTTCATTTTTTACCTTTCACAATCTTAAATATTAGTTTTCGTCACCCTTTTTTTATCTTGGGTAATGCTAAAGGACCAATTGGTCCCTATAATTTTTTTATTTTCATCTTAAGTCTAAAATTTTTAATTTTACTTTTTGATCTTCTAAATTTTAATTTTTAAATTATTAAATATCTAAATTTTTAAATACTAAACCCTAAACCTTAAAAATCAAAACCCTAACATCATGAAATATATAACCCAAACAATTTAAACCCTAATGCCTTAAATACTACTTCCTAAAAATTCAAACACTAAACCCTAACACCCTAAACACAAAACCATAGAAATTTTAAACCCTAACAAGATTAATTTAGTTTTAACTAAAAAAAAGTAAGGGGCCTGAACTGAGTTTAAATGGTTAAAAATAGGGACTAAATAACAAATTTATCCAAGAAGAAAAAGGAAATCTAAATGCCAAGTCAAGATCAGCCTTTGGTTGGCCTGCTAGGTTCAGTCCCACTATCATTTTCCTTTTATCTCTCTAAGACTAGACTAAAACCATGCTGTCAAAAATAATATCCAAACCTGAAATCCTGACAGTTTTTAATCGCTCTTTTTCATCTTCAATTCGAGCTTGTTTATCCTGGTACATTTTCCAGCGTCTATCATCTATCAACCCAACTTCACGTCCCAAGGGGGTGAGACGACTATCGGCATTATCAGAACGAAGCAGTAACCGATGTTCTGAACGGCTAAAAGAAAGTAAAAAGATATAAAATGAATGCACACAACACAATGCACGTAGTTTTCAAGTTAAAGATAGGACCAATAGTAAGTTTATTCATACACTTCCACTTGAACTACTAAATGAAACAAAATATTATTTGTAACATTGAAGAGCACATAAGCAATTGATTCCCAGAAACTAATCTGAGGAGGTTTTAAACATTTTAAGTAATCAAAATAACATCCTTGTATGAACAGTCTTTGGCCAATTACCTTGTTAACATGCGATAAGGTTCCCTAAGGTCCTTAGTGACCAGATCATCAATCAGTGTCCCTATGTAACTGCTTTCCCTCTCGAGAACAATGAGTGGCTTACCATCTGAATGTCTGGCAGCATTAATACCAGAAATAATGCCCTAAAATGATTGGGGAAAAAATTGTTTCTTTAAGAATTGGGAATAAGACACTTCAAATAACAGATGGTCAATAAAAGCATTTATTTTCCACTTTGGTAAAGAACTCCTATCTCTCCTATTGCAAATGCAAAATGGCCAAAAAGATCAATTATTATTTAGAGTAGGTTCCATAATTTATAAAGGACAAGGAAGAAGTAAACATTTAACATATTAACCTGTGCAGCTGCCTCTTCATAACCCGTGGTTCCATTTATCTGACCAGAGAAGAAAAGACCCTCAATTTTCTTTGTCATAAGAGACCTAGAGCACTGGTGAGCTGGAAGATAATCATACTCAACAGCATATGCAGGCCTTAACATTGAGCAATTCTCTAGACCAGGCAATGTTCTCAGGAGTGGTAACTGTAACCTTTCTGGTAAGCCAGTTGAGAACCCCTGTGTGTGAGGGTAGCAAAATGATCAACCATGACTTTTAAAAAGAACAGGATGCATGACTGCAATTATTAGAAGGACAAGTAAAGCTATAATATTTATGACTCATCTAATACTAATGTATTTGAGAAAGATTAAACAATGAACATTAGAAAACAAACAAAAGTTATAAAAAGAAAATTACATGTGATACTGTTCATGACACAACCAAGACACCAACACCACATTCTGTTGATGCAAGAATCATCACATACACTAGAAAATAAAAGAGAACATAGATTCTTGAATGATTCTATTAACATGATAGTACAAATGAATGAATGAAAGAAATGAATTACTTGACAATTAAAATGAATGAAAGAATTGAATTATATGACAATTAAAATGAAGGAAAGAAATGAATTACTTGACAGTGAAAATGAATGAAAGAACTGAATTACTTGACAGTTAAAAT